ATGATCATCCTAATCTCTGACTCCTGAGTAGCTAGGATTATAGCAGTGAGCTACTGCGCTTGCCCCACTTCCATACTTCTTTATTTAACAAAAAGAAACCGTTAAAGAAAATGTAATAAACCCTGAAGAACATACTCTAGAAATCAATTAGATTTATTCTACACTTCTCTGAATTTTAAAAATAAGTATAGTATATTATTTATCCATTGTTCCATAGGAAACCACCCCAACATACAGTAGCTTGAAATAACAATTATTTCTTGTGTCTGTGAGATGACTGGAGCTCAACGGGGCAGTTCTTTCACTGACCTCACTTGGAGTCACTCATGCAACTGAGCTGGAACATCCAAGGTGATCTTTCATTCCCTGGGGCCTCTCTGCAGGTGGCCTTTAGTCCTCTAAGACTAGTTGGCTAGATTCCAAGAGAAAGTATCAGAAGCTGGAGTTCTCTGAACCCTGGGCTCAGATTCTCAGAATGTCACTTACTCTGCATTTCATTCATTAAAGGAAGCCAAAGGGCCAACCCAGATTCAAGGGAAGAGGAAAGTCTTCACCCCTGGTATGAGGAAGGGCAAGTGCACACCTGGAGGAGAGGGACTGATATGGCCTTCTTTTACAATTAGCACAGAGGAGATTTGGTACTAGATTTTCTATTCAAAGCACAAATTTGTGTGCCTTACTAAAGATGTTTAAATTTCATAAATGAATCGATGATTATCTTAAGCAATCTTTGCTTTCCTAGGTCACAAAGGTCTGTTGTATAGCAGCTTCCAAAGTGTACTTAAAGAGTGGGAAAGGAGTAAATCCCTTTCCTGCCCATCATAAACAATCATGGCCTGCACCCCTATAACCAAGGACAGGTGAACAAGAGAAATGCATAACAAATTCATTTGGGTATAGTTTTAGGTAACACAGGAGCCTTCAGAAACAAAGACCTAAGGACCCAGGGCAAATATCCATTTTTATGCTTAGATTCAATGATGCATAGACAGCTTTGTAGAAATATGCTTGGACAAAAAGGGTCTAAATTAACAGAAATAAATTGGGGTGGGGACCAACCTGGCATGGCCTGTCTGCTCAGACTCCTTTTAGGCCTCTATGCAGCGTTCCTTCTTTTCAGCAAGAACCTTTCTGGAATGGAAGTCTTAATGATCACCAATCAAAACAAGGTAGGTCAGAGAGTTTCTTTATGGCCAACTCTTACCAGAAAGGTGGGGAAACATTAATTTTTTTATGTTTTATGGCTGTTTTGGGAAGAAAGACGTTCTGGTTTCTATGACCTGTCTTAGAGAAGAATAATTCTGGTTTCCTAGGGCTTGCCTTGGGGAAGAATGAGGGTTGAGACACAGTAGGGCAGAAGGTCTGCTTCTGAGGCCTTCCCTTTGGGGTGTCATTTTCTGAGCCTCAACACATTAGCCTTGGTTTGGGGGTACAGTAGGAAGTAGTGAGGATTTAAGTCAGAAGACCCAACTGACGTTGATTGCTGTTTACCAATTTGACTTGGGTAAGCACTTTACAACTCTGAATCTTGTTTTTAAAGCTGGGTTACTGGTAGATAACTGAGTTATTTACCATTATAAAGAGACAGTGATTCCCATGATTCCCAAAGAGGAGTCCCCACGGGAACTAGAACCAGATCCCAAGTAGCTCTGAGGAGGTCTCAGCCAGATTTGCCATTGCCACAAGCTGGTAGCCTTCCCCAAGACTGCTGCGCTGTGATTGGCGATTTGTGTTTCCTGTCACCAACTACCAAGTCTTCCTTTCAACTATTGGGTTTTCTCCCTAGGGCATAATTTTTGCTCTCTCATCATTGTAGCCTGCCCATTGACTACCATGGACTGCCTCATAGTCTAGATCAGGGATTGGCAAACCTTGGTCTATGGGCCAAATGTGGCCTGCCACCTGCTCTTGTAAATAAAGTTTAATTGGAACATAATCATACTCATTCATTAACCATTGTCTGTGGCCCCCGCTGGGTTACAATGGCAGAGTTGAGTAGCTGTAACAGACACTGTGCAGTTCACAGAAACTACCTGGCTCTTCACAAAGTTTCTTGACTCTTGGTCTAGACTTTACTTCATAGCTCTGCTCTTTGAGCATTCTTTTAGCTTTAGTTTTTATTATTTTGTTCTTGAAGTATCTCCCAGTTCGAATTCTTATAGAAGACAGAAAGAAAAAGTGGTCACCCTCTTTTCACGCCAGGCTACTTTCTAGTGTGCTGGCCAGCTTTGCAGAGCCTGCACTTGGGTGGCATGTCATCTTCTGCCCTGTCCAGTTAGCTGTGGCTGAGAAGATGCAGATGACACCGTCAGTAAAACAGAGCTGCCTTAAGGGGTTAGGGCATGGTGACATGACTGACACATCTAGCACAACTGCAAACGAAATGAGATAATATATGTAAAATATATGATAATGTGCTCCAGCCACATTATTTATTACTTATAAAGTGGTACAAGTCATTGCCAATTAAGAGAAGTCTGAAGTGAAACACAGTACTCTTGAAATTCATCAGATAAATGCATGACAAAATATGATCTAACTTATTTTTTCTTCTTCCTTATGGTCTACCTTAAATATTCAACCCACACATAATATTACAACCCTATTGCATTATGGAACACATAAAAAACCATGAACATTCCCAGCAGATTTTTTTTTTAAAAGCTTAAATGTGTAATCGTATTAAGATTGGATGAGTTTTGGATGCTAATGATCCTTCTTTTTTGATTTGGGAAAACAGCCAAACCAGTTCAACCACAGTGAATTATGTACCAATGACAAGTTACACTAAACAGAATTCTGCAACAACCAGTACTTTGAACAGGCTGTTCTTCCATGATTTTCCATCTACCTCCATCTGTGAAGGGTGCCTACATCTAGGGCACCCTTCTGCCCTGCAGAGTGGGCTCCAATCCATATCCTGTATGGATGGGAACACTATACAGGTTGTTCTGTTTGGGTTTTTGGGGGAAGGGGAGAGGAGGTTGGTGCTGGGGTTGAAATCAGGGCCTTGCACTTGTTAGGCAGGCACTCTACCACATGAGCCACACCCCCAGCCCCTTTTGTTTCAGGTTTTCAGATAGGGTCTTGCTTTTGTCTGGGGCCAGCCTTCGAACCTTAATCCTCCTACCTCTGTCTCCTACTAGTTAGGATTACAGGTGGGAACCACCAGGCCAGCTTCTTTTTTGGGATAGGGTCTTGCTAACTTTTTTGCCCAGCTGGCCTCAAACCAAGATCCTCCCATTTCTACCTCCCAAGTAGATGAGATTACATCTGTGAGCTACCATACCCAGCGCCCCATGAGTTTTGACAGTCCTCTGATAATTCTAACAGTGTAAAAAGTATGGTACTCAATAAAGCACACTTTATAGAAAAACTTGACAGCATTTTCAATAAAAGAACTTTAAAAAGTATCCCCGTTGAAAAACAAATAAAACAACATGGAAAAGAAAATTTCAGAATAATGCTTGTGCCTTCTAGTCTGGGACAAATTGATAACACACAAAGTGCTTCCAAAATATTTTTTATTGCTATATAAAAAGTCAAGGAAAATAAATGCATATTTTTCCTACAAAGTTATAAAATATTTAAGATATTTAATATTTTTCCATAAGCGTGCTGAGATTTTTTTAAAAAGACAAATTTAAAGACAGAAATCTTTTTTCCAGGCACTTTGTAAAGAATAAAAAGTAATTTTCTTTCTACTCTACTTTCCTATATATAGCCATAAGAAATAGTAGTTACAGTTTTCTGTTGGAGTGAAAAAAAAAGACATTTCAAGATAAAAATTCCATCACATTTTGCCAAAATTAGCATTAGGCTTTACTTTTTCCTTTGTGCTTTAGTCCCTTTTTTTTGTTTTTGATGGTACTGGGGGTTGAAATCAGGCCCTGGCTCTTGCTAGGCAGGCCCTCTACCACTTGAGCCACACCCCAGTCCCTTTTGTGCTTTACATTTGGCAGTGGTGGTCAATCAGTATCTCACTGGAATTTCCAACTCAGCAGGGCAACGAGCCTAATTAAAAAGGAGACATACAGTTTATTTTGTCCTTTAGAAAACAGAAACTGCTTGAGATTGTTTCTTAAAAAGCGCAATTGCCTTCCTTGTCATTTCTTTGTAAGGTCTGAGATGCTGCTTTTAAACTGCATGGCTTAAACGAAACCACCCAAGGAAGGGAATGAAAGAGCTTGGGAGGATGCAGCTTGACACCAGCACAGGAAGCTGTACACTTTTGATGACATTAATTCAATAAAGTATATTCATTTGAGTTTCTCAATAAACCCTTTGAAAGAAAAGGCTTTGGTGTTGACTTAGATGAGTGTTAAAATAAAGCTTTCTTTTCTGAAATTAGATTATGGGGTAGGCCAAGCCAGATTATCTCTGTAGATGATACAAGCTATAATTATTTGGGGAGGTTTCAATCACTATTTGGAATTGATCTGTAAGGCTTTCTTTTCCTCTATTCTTTATAGGCTTTTTAGTGGGATATTTTTGGGGGAGATGCTTAGGTAGGAAATATCATCTTTTAAAGATTAAGGTGTAATTATCACTAGAATAAAAAGTCGATTAAAAAAGAGTCTCAAATAGAAAGGATTTCTAGATATATTTTACTATGTGTCCTTTTCATAGAGGCTGAAAAAGAAAGAAAAGGAGTTCCTATAATATGTGTAAGATTACCTCACATTAACCCACTTGAGATGAGGGGTGCTCAAATAGTTTGCAACGGAGCTATTCTAGTGCTAAATAATTAGATAGTCGCTTTCTTGGCCTACAGAAAAAGGAATGGCAGCCACAGTTCTTGGGACTCTCTATTCCTTTCCAGACCCCAAAATAACCATGGCATTCGATGCACCTTTATGTAATAAAACATTGTCAAACTGTTTGTGTGTGACCATGTAATTACTCCCTCCACTTAAGGACCCATACTGCCTGGAAGCAAGGGAGGTTGGGGGGGAAGGAAGAGGGGGGGAGGTGGGGGGGCAGGGGGGAGAAATGGCCCAAACAATGTATGTACATATGAATAAATGAATTTTAAAAAGTACTCCCCCCCCCAAAAAAAAATGCTTCAGTGTTGGTTTTCAGTTTGGTTTTTTTGAGAGACAAGTTGTCGCTAGGTTTCCCAGGCTTGTCCTGAACTGAGCTCTGACGATCCTCCCGCCTCAGCCTCTGGAACAGCTAGAGCTGTGGACTCGCACCACTGTGTCAAGCTCTTCTAAGATACTGCAATTTAAAATTGTAGGGAAACCAAACACCAACCAAAACCCAAAAAAAAAGCATCATTTCAGCATAAGAATTACTCTACATTTTAATTGTTGTCATCTTACAGCCTAGACAGGTCTCTCTGCATGAAAAGTTATCATCTCACTAAGAACTCAAAGCTCAAAAGAACACTATTGCAATTCATCAGCTAATCTTGAAAGCTATAGATGTTCTTGCCCAAATCTTTCTGTCACCAAGGCACACTTTTAAGACAGCAGGGCATAGTATGGCTTATTGGCAGTGACAGATGTCCCATGATCTAAGTCCAAGCATGGCTGGCACCTTTTCCTTGGCTCTCTGGGGGAGGGAGTTCTCCCTGGAAGATAGCCAAAGGCAAACAAGCATCTTTTAACAACTGTTCTCTACTCCACTCCAGCATGCAGTTTATTTGGTGGGGTGGGGAGTGGGTGGGAGGAGTTCATATGGCACGGGTTAGTACAAAAAATAAGAGTAGCTCAGTGAAGTGGCTAGGGTCATGGACCAAGGTAGCCAGGCTGCCAGGGCTTGAATGTCAGTTCTGCCACTTTTAGCCATGTCACCTCCAAGCAAGTCACTAACCTCTGCGAGCTTTAGACCTCTTGCCTCAAAAATGGAGAAAATAACAAGGCCTGCTTTACCAGGTCTGTCTGGGGATTAAGAGACCTGGTATCAGTACAGTGCTCAGAAGAGTGTCTGGTGCATAGTCAGTGCCATGTAAGCACTCTCCAAGATAAAACCAGAAACAGGAAAAAGTGCTCCTTGAGGTTTGCAGAGCAGTTTATTTTCACTCTAAGAGCTTCAGAAACTGGACCAGAAAGTGTACCAACCCATGGAAGTGTTGGGATCAACAGTGAGGTTTAGAAAATCTTCCAAGTCTAACCAGAGAAGATCTCTTCTCCTGCTCGGGGCCCAGCGACTTTTCCAAAATACCCTACTACAAACCCTCATGTCCAGGGGCCACCAGAACCCAAAGCAGCTGGAGAGGGACAGAGAGCCGTGGTGGGGAGAAGGAGACTAGTTATTTTCCTGCAGTTTTTGCTCTGTACTCTAGCCATGATATCTGTGTGGACCAATGGTCTAAACCTTGTCCCAGGTATTATGATCTGATTATTAAATTTTAGGACTGGTTCTACCTAGTTTTAACTCTGGACCCTCAGAATTAATAGGAAAAGACTGCATGACAAGAAACCAGGGGTTGCCCATTTATCAAGTCAACCAACTGACAGACACACTTTGTGCTTCTATTCTGTGCAAAGCATTGTGCCTAATGCTTTGGTCCTCAACACGAAATGGGTAACAAATACAATTTATATATGCTATCATTTATATCCAAGTCAGGTGAGTTCATAGGCCTCCATCAATATAAACACTTTCAAGAAATCCTCCCTGATGATTACAAGAACCATTGATACTAGGTAGCTTGATCACCTATGGTTAGGAGAAGCTGAACTATGGAGTTACATGGCGATGTCTCTGGGCTGTCTTACATGGTAGATCTCTGGCCAGCTTCATCAAGGCCGAAGTTTCTTTTCCTGGCTGCTGCCTCACTGTTTAACTCTGAATCTGATTTGTCCCCGCTGTTGCCAGAGCTTATGGCGATGGCCCCTTCCATCGCTTCTGACTGAAGAAGCGTAGACTCTGGTTCCTTGGGACGTTTCCACTGTGGTCTGGTGACAATCCAAAAAACCAGACCCCCGAACACCAGAATCAGAAGGCCCAGGGTATTTGTGAAAACACCTTCTGGGGGGAATGAATGGTATGAAGGATTTTTCCTATAAAAAAAAAGAAGTGTGTCCAATTACAAATAGGGTAATATAGCCTCATGCATCACAGTTTTGAATTTATCTGCTTAAGATGCTTCAATGTAAATCCCCTTATAGCTTGATATTAAGGAGATATTTAAACTATGCTATAATTCACACAGTAGAAGGTTATAAAATTGTTAAAAATTTGAACAATGAAAATAAAATAACACCTGGAACACTTGTATCACTTAAAAATTGAAAAAACCCCAAAAATATACCTACATTATAGTTACAGTTAATATAAAAACATACACATCAAAGTGATTGAAAGGGAATGTGTAACTTCTCTTTTTTTGGCAGTATTGGGGTTTGATCTCAGGGCCTCACACTTGCTAGGCAGGTGCTCTACCACTTGAACCACTCTGCCAGCACTTTTCTGTGTTGGGTATTTTTGAGATAGGATCTCATGAACTATTTTCCCAGGCTGGCCTCAAACCACAATCCTCCTAATTTCTGCCTCCTGAGTAGCTAGGATTATTGGCATAAGCGGGCATGTGTAATTTTTAACAGTTATTTCATGATACTGGCCCTTGTAAGCATTTAGTATACTCATTAACATTTAGTAATATAATGCATGTATGAAATTCTAAATTATTTCAAAATAAATGTTTTAAACTTAAACTTTTAATCTTAAAAATTGTCCCGTTTATAGTATACTTTCCCAGTGGATAAGTATTTAACATTTTATAGCTTCAGTTTATGATAAAGAGGACTATGCAACTTACAGGACAAAAAATAGCTTCTCCGTCACTCCCATGAGGACCGTGGCAATCACTGTTCCGAAGAGGAGAAGTCCAGAGTAAACATGCACGGGCATGGCGAGTGCTCGGAGAGACAGCGGTGCCCAAGGAAGCAGAAAGATGAAAAACCCTAGGAGAAGCTAAGCACCGAAAAGTGCAAATGTTATCATTTAAGTTTTGCAAATGTTAAATTATTATTGTAAAAGCAGTATGTAAAAAACAAGAAGAACTTTCATGAGAAACCAGGGGTACAAAAGAAAAGGTAAATGTCCCTAGCACCCGTTCCAATATGCAAAGGAAGTTCCTATGACAATGGCCTCATAGATCCTTCCAGAAAATTCCTATTCCTGAGGCAGGCTAAAGTAGGGAAAGTTCTGGGCTCATAGAAAAAAAGATTACATCTTAGATTAACCATGCTGTGGTTCAGGGACCACTCTCACCTGGTCAGGAAGCACCCATGCCCCTCCCCAATCATTGATTATTGGGTGGGAATCACCTTGTTCCCCCCTTGCCATAGGTTGTCGTAGGTTTTAACAGCACCTGAAGAGCAGAGATATGCTCCCTTGGCTTCCAGCTTCCACCTGGGCCCACCATGCTCCCCTTTGAATTTCCCTTCCCTAACTTTTAATAAATTCCATTTACACCCACATGTCCTGCCATGGATTTTTCCCAGTGGGATACAAAGAATTTGGAAGTCTTCTGATCACAGACTCCACCAGCACCATTAACTTTCCGATGCAAGTATGTCATAAGTATGTACATTTTTAAAATGGATACGTGGACCTTACTATTCACTTTTCTGCATCTTGTTTTTTCCCTTACCAGTGTATCTTAGAAATGGGAAACAGTTTCATTTCAACACATATTCATCTAGTTTATTCTTTCTTGTAGTTAAATAATAGCTATTAAGGATATAACAATTTATTTCCTCAGTTTTCTATTTATGGATCATTCTGTTTCTAGTTTTTTTTCCTCCTATCATTAATAAGGCTACAGCGAATATTTTTGAACTTACTCATTTGTTTTTTATCAGTTTCCTAAAGTTGCCAAGAAGGAAGAAAAGTAGAAGGTTTTTTTAAATCACTAAAATCAAACACATTAAGACACATAATTCAATCAGGTCAGCCTAAAAAGCTATGTGGAAGGGAGCCGACAATAGTGTTTTTCATGGAAGAAATGAATTCTGCAGAGAGGTTATGCCATGGGTTCCTTGCTTACAGAGAAGACAGCAAGAGTCCAGCATCCGCTGAAGTTGGTTACACTTCGGTTTTGTTTTGATCCCCACACCCCTGCCCAGTAAGTAATCTCCTACTTCAAGAAAACAGATGACTTAATGGCTGTCAGATTACTGAATTCAAAGGGCTATCTCCCTTCCCCAGAAGTGAAGTAGGATCTGCCAGTTTAACAAAACAACTAGGAAGGGGGGAGGGATGGGGAGAAAAGCACTGACACAGTCGCTCATCTTTCTTGATTGAGATCCAAGGACTAAGAGGAGGAAGCACCAGAAGAGTGGAGGCAGGAGGGGGGGTCTAAGGTCCCAACACACTTTGAATCCGCTTGTGTGTAAGATGTAGCATAATGAATGAGAAGTAATCAAAAAGGTCTTTGACAGGCTGCTGGGCATACTGCACTGCTCACTTAGTCCACAAGTGCCTGGATCCGGTGGAAATGGTTCAGTGTCCCCCTTTTGTGGTTCAAAATGTACCTAACTCTCCTTCAGTGAGCTTCAGTGATTCTATTAATTGAAGGGCAAACTTCCTGATGTCCATGTTATGCTTTCTACAGGGAAATGTGGCTCAGCTAAATAACTATCAGGGATTTGGCATAGTTTCCTGTGAGTAAGGCACCATATACATTTTCTGTGACTCATCCATAAAAATAAATATTTCTCATGTTCTGTTATACTTTCTTTTTCTTTCTTTTTTTTTTTTTTTTTTTCCAGTACTGGGCTTGAACTCAGGAACTATGCCTTGAGCCACTCCACCAGCCCTTTTTTGTATGGGTTTTTTTTTGTTTTGTTTTGTTTTGTTTTTTTGAGATAGGGTCTCCTGAGCTATTTGCCTGAGCTGGTTTTGAACCATGATCCTCCTGCTCTCTGCCTCCTGAGTAGCTAGGATTACAGGTGTGAGCCACCGATTCTTGGCATGTTCTTGTTATGCTTGTCATCCTGGTCATTATTATTCCTAAAATCCTTGCTGTTTTGTTCTCACTCCTTCATGATTTATCATGTGTGTCTCTTGTAGAATCCTGTAGCTCAGTGATTCAAATTGTGGGAAGTTAGAAATCTGCTTCCAGAATCTTTAAGCAATTTAAATACTACTTTCACCATTAAAAGTTTTTTTGTTCTTGCTGTAGGAGGGTTTGAACTCAGGGCCCCACACTTGCTAGGCAGGTATCTATCACTGAGCCATGCTTCCAGCCCTTTTTTTGAAGATAGGGTCTTGCCTTTTGCCTGGGGCAGCTGGACCACAACTCTCCTATTTTAAGCTTCCTACCAGTGCTGAGGTGACAGGAATAAGCCACCATGCCCAGCTTTTTTCCTTCAAGATGGGGTCCCATTAACTTTTTGACTAAGTTGACTTCGAACCATAATCCTCCTGATCTCAGCATCCCAAGTAGCTAGGATTATAGGCATGAGCCACCAGTGCTCAGCTAAAGAAATTCTTCAAAAAAAGAAAATTCCTTTTAAAAGGAAAGGCAAAACATTGTGAAATATTTGAGTTTGATAAAAAGTATTTTGAATAATGCAAACTTATAGTTTGTGATAATTCATAATAATCATTCTTTATTTCCTTTTTAATCAACTTAGGCTTAGTTAAAAAGTAAGTGCAGATAGTAACTTACAACCCAGTGGACTGAGAACTGTGAAACCCTTTGTCCCTAAGTCAGTGGTTCCTAAAATGTGGCATAGTGGCTCAAATGGTAAGAGTACCTGCCTAGCAAGGATAAGGCCCTGAGTTCATACCCCAGTGTTGCCAAAATTTTTTTTTAAATGTGAATGTGATTTATAGAAGACACACATCAGAAACACTTAAGTTATATATTTAAGGAGATGCTAAGTCAGAATTTCTGGATTAGGGCCTAGGAATCTGCACTTAACAGAATATCCAGGCCATTCTTACACATGTTGAAGTTTGAAGACCACTGGTTTTGATTTGCTCAAATTATCCCAGACCGGCAGATTAACTGCAGCCTGGAAAATCCTCCAGAGAGAAGGCAGTGGAACCTTCCATTATCTACAGTCTCGGAACACTTATTAAGTGCCAACTATGTATAAACAGAGTGCTCCACTGTTTAGGAGCCATCACCTTCATTACCACAGTGGGAGTTCATATGGGAGTCAGGGAAAAATAAAATCTCATGAAAAGTTACTACCTGAGATGAAAGCGAAAAATAGTGTCGTCCTAGTTCTATTTAAAAATTAAATATCTAGGCTGTAGTGGCTCAAGTGGTAGAGCAAGTGTGAGGCCCTGAGTTCAAACCTCAATACCACACACACAAAAACTAAATATCTATATCCATATGTGTATAAGTATAACAAAAGCCTAAAGGAGTTGAATCAAAATATAATGATATCTCTAGATTTGGCATTATCAGTGATTTTTGTTTTTTTCTTTATATTTTTCTATATTTCATAAATCTTTAATGTATATTACTTTTATAATTAGAAGTAGATGATAAAGCTTACTTTTACAGTTCCTATCTTAAATACTTGGGCTTTTTTCAGGTAATTATTACTGTCTTTAAAGATGTAAATATATTTTACTGTGCTGGTTTGCCTAACTTTATAAAACAGATTATTAAAAAAAAAAAAACTTTGAGACACAACAAAAGCTTTTACTGCAAAAGTCACTAATGAAAGCAGGAAATCTTTGCCTAAATAGCTTTTATATTAGGCATGGTTTGCTTTGAGGGGTAGGGGATAGAAAAATGGTGGGGTTAGAGGTAGATTTGATGAGTAATCAAGTCAATTACAAATTCAATGGACTCTCCCCCTCTGTTCTCCTCATCTTTCTGCAGTTTCACGTGTGCACCCATTCTTTCGTCCAGCATGCATTCTGAAACCTTTGCTATGACCCAGAAGCTATTCCGAGGCTGACTATGTTACCCACTCCCTGTGTTCCAGGAACTCACATTTATTTTCCTTAGGTTACTGATATAATGCCCAACCTTGTGGCCATTTACAGGTTTTTCTTTTGGTCATTTGTTCTTGAACCTTACCATGCATCTGAATCACCTGGAAGGCTTGCCATAAGACATTATTTGGGGGCCATCCCTAGAGTTCCTGAGTCAGTATGTCTGGGGTGGAAGGGGAGAAACTGTATTTCTAATTTTCCTGGAGATGCTGATGCAGCTGCTCTAGGGACCCTAGAAATTCTGGTTCAGATGACTTCCATGTTTGTGTTCTTCACATGTAAGAACAAAGTGGCACTTACTTTCGGGGTAAGAAAAATTAACCAGTACCAATGATAAGATGCCCACATTAAAAAAAAATTTTTTTTAAGCATACAACATGCAACAAAATTGATCTTTGAGTCTTTGGCCAGTATCTTACATCTCCCTGCTAAGATTTCATCATGTCCTCCTGGCAACACCACTTCTGGTTCACCATTCTCCTGACTACACTTGTCCTGCTAGGTCCTGCTGGAGTAAATAATTTATAGTGAATCACTATAAATTCATGGTTATGAGCAATTTAGCACTGCTCAACAAGCCTTCTCCCCCATCTCAAATTTCTGGCTCCCTGGAGTGCCTCCTTGATATTAACAGCCAATTGTTGAAAAAATAAAGGCAACTTCAGAAAATAGCTTCAATTTCCTGCCACCAAACAAATGCAAAAAATGTCCTAAACCAATGATTCCTCCCTTTCTTCAATTACTGTGGAGTTGGTGTCACATCTCCAGTTTTCCAGCTGTCTCTGCAACCTGCTTCCTAAAGACTCTTCAATATGGCTTCTGTCCTCTGAGGGAGTTGTTCTCCAGGGTCACCACAGACTTCCCAACGCTAACCCCCATGGGCCGTTTTCAGACCTTCTTTGTGTATCTTCTCAGGATCAGCTGCTCCTCATCAAACCCTTCCCTTCCCCTCCAGCTGTCCCCTTCTCATCCACCCACTGCTCAAGCAAGCCTATGAATGACTCTTATTCTTTGTAGTATTTATTTTCCACATCTACCTTCTAAATTTTACCCCCCTTAAAATCTCTCTGCTCTGCTTCATTGTTACTGCCACCACTCTAGGCCAACAGCATTTCTCTTCTGAACCTTCCTAACCATCTTCAAGCTAGACTCTACACTGATGCCTGTCCAGCCTCCAATTCATGTTCCACACCCCACTTGGACAGACTGACCTCCTTCATCTGCAGGTACAGCTAACAGGTACAGGCTATTCATTCACTTAGAAGACTGTGCTTTCAAGCCCAGGCTCATGAGTATGAATTCCTGTATCTATCATACAAGGACTCTTCTATAAAATTCCATACCCACCCTATCTACCAAATACTCAATTAACTGTCTGCAATGGCCAGCTTCAGAAGGGCAGAGAATATGTCTCTTTGATCCTGTGCTTGTCTTGTGAACAGTGTGTGTGTGGGTATCCCATGCTTAGCAAGGTATTTGGCATATTGCCAGGTATTCAACTCTATGCTGAAAAACTCACAAGAGTAAACTTTCATTAACATAAAATGCATGTTCCCAACCACCAGGGTATCTATGATCTACAGTAGAAATAAAAATTACTGTTTTTAGGTCACAAAGGAGCCTCCCACAAGCCTTACACTCTTAATGACAACAGCTAACTTGTATCATAACAATGTGTTAAGCCTTTTAAAGCATTATTTGACTCTCATTCTTATGATTGTGTGAAGGATCATAAGGCTTAATTTGTGGGTGAGAAAACCAAATCCAGAAAGTTAAATAACTTGTTCAGCTACCAAACAGATGACCTGATTCAGACTGGGGTCTTCTGTGTTCTTGCACACTGCCTGTTCTCTGAATCTGAGCAAGGAAGAAGCTTAGGAGCCAACATTCCTTCCACTACACAAAAGCCAAGAACTTGTGAAATCATTGTTCTGAGAAGTCAGTGAGCACCAAAAAAACAACAGGAGATAAGAATCCATATATTTCAGAAAGCAAAAGGAGTCTTGAGACAAATATGTTTTTAATCCATCTATTTTAAAATTAGGGATGTAATTAACTATATAAAGAAGAGAAACCCTATTTATCTCAACAGACACAGAAAATAAAATTCAGTAAGATACTACATCCACCCATGACTTAAGAAGAATGAGAACTTTTTAAAAACAGAGATAAAAAGAAATGTGAAGCTTCTGTACTCAATAATAAAATATTAGAAACATTCTTTAAAATAAGAACGTGTCAAGGATTCTTATCTCTACTTGCAGACTTTTTACTTCTACACACTTCTACATACTTCAGTACTTCCACAGTCCAGAATTCCACTTGTGCTGACTAGGATACAAAGGAAAAGGTATGTGACAAAAACTGGCAGATACAGAAAATTGCAAACACATGGCAAGAACAAGGATGGATCAATAGATGGTGCTAGGAAAATGAATCCACATGGAGAAAAATAAGTTGGAGTACAAAATCACACCATATACTGAAGTAAATTCCAGATTAATTAAGTACTTACATATCAACGACAAAACTTTAAAACTCTTAATAGAAGTCATGAGAGAACTTTGACCTCAGGATAGAGAAGGATTTCATAAACAAGTCACCAAAAGAAAACGAAACAAACAAACAAAAAAAAGATAACTTTGAGGAAAAGATGATTAACTTGTCTACATTAAAATCGAGAAGTTCTATTTATCAAAAATACTAACAAAATGGCTGGGAGCATGGCTCGAGTGGTAAAGTGCCTGCCAGCAAGGGTGAGGCCCTGAGTTCAACCCCTGATACCTCTCCCTGAGGGAGGGAAGAGGACTCAGCAGCTGGTGGCGGTAGAGGAAGTTGCCTTTGGATGGGAAGCAGTGGCTAAAAACACTGAAGGAAAAAGGATAAGAGATCTGAGCTGGCCTCAGCCATCCAATTAGAGGCATTTTCCTTGTTCCTTCCTGACTGCAAAGGTCATGGCGCATACAGGGCTTTCTCTGTGCTTCCCTTCTGTCTGATTCCTTTCTATTCCCAACCTACCTCCATGCCTGCCAGCACAAACTTAATAATAAATAGCGTCCATGCAGATATTAACTTTCATTTAATGAAAATTCATCAAGCTTTAAGGTTGTAGAAACTTTTGTGTGTGTGGTACTGGAATTTGAACTCAGGGCCTTGTGCTTGTTAGGCAGGTGCTCTATCACTTGAGCCACATCTCCAGCCCTTTTTGTCTTAGTTGTTTTTGAGGTAAGGTTTCACTTTATGCCCTAGGTGCACTGCAATCCTCCTATTTATGCTTCTTGTGTTGCTGGGATGACATACCCAGCTTTTTATTGGTTGAGAAGGGATCTCATGGACTTTTTGCCCATGCTGGTCTTGAACCATAATCCTTCCAATCTCTGCTAGATTACAGTCATGAGTCACCATGGCCCTGAATCTTTTAAGAAGAAAAATGACAAATGTCTGGTAAGAGGTCATGTTTTTTTAAAGGGGCCATATATTTTCGGGTACGCCATGAGGTTTTGTGTATCCACTCCACTGTCTTACTCCTATATTCACAGAAAACTAAAGTTTACAATGATGTCCCAGTCGAGTAGTTGAATATGTATTATACTAAGGATGGAAAGTGAATCAATGTAGTTTACAAAGATGTGTCAACAAAGTGGTTAAGACCCAAAAGACTCTCTCAACTTAGAACAGCCAAACACCTGTCACATTTTACAAAATTATGTTTAAATATAGCGCCTCTCACAAGGGGAAGATGAGGGGAAAATAAAATAATGACTATGCTTTCAAAATCTACCAAGAAGTTATAAATTAATCTCTTCATTCACAAAAGTAAATCTAGAAAAGTGCCAGAGAATGTGGGAAAGAAACCTTATGCTACTTTATTCAGTGTGCAGAAGTCAAGGTCAAGCAATGCGTATAGAGGTAAGGAGATGGTGATTTCCTACCTAAAGATGTCAGTCAGTATCTCAACTCTCACATTCAAGCTCCTGACCGTGAGTTCTGCAGTTCCAGTGCCCACTCAGGGCAAGAATTGTCATGCAAACAAATGTAAAGAATTCTTAGAAAAGTCAGGTGCCGGTGGCTCACACCTGTAATCCTAGCTACTCAGGAGGCAGAGATCAGGAGGATCGTGGTTCCAAGCCAGCCCGGGCAAAAAGGTTAAAAAAAAATGCTTACAAGATAGTGATAGTCTGTGAATTTACTTTTTTACTTTCTATACCTTGTTTGTAAATACACGGAGACACTGACCTGTAAGACATAGAGGATGACAACTGTCAGTCCCACCCAGCTATGTAGACTGTACATGTGGGGGATACTTTGGGCACTGTGATAATCAAAGACAGCCACCACAGAGATGATGACAAGAACAGCAGCCACAGCGTTCAACCCCGCGTGGATGGATTTCATCAGGAACTTGCTGCATTTCCAGGTCCATGGCAGGCGGTAGACGATGATGGCTAAGGAGACAGAAAGTGTTTATTAAAAATCAACACAAAATAAACAATTTGCCCACTGGACACTTCCTTCTGGGAAACCTTTTTCCCTTGGCTTCTGTTTCTTCTGACTTCCCCATGTTACTCCTGCCTTTCAGTGGTTTCTTTGTTGCTTTTTCACTCCTGGTTATATGACCAAAAGACACATACTAGACTATTGCCAGCAGCACTATTTATAGGAAATGTCCTAAATGTCTATCATCAATACAATGAATAAGTAAATCATGATATAGTCACCCTACAGAATGATACACAACAAAGAGAATGAAGGATCTGTAACTAGAACGGTGTATGCTTACATGTACACTCTTCTGCATGTAGAGTACACTTCAATTGAAAGGCTTTAAAGTTTTAAGTGTCTCAGTTTAAGCCACAGATTATATGGCCACCTTGAACAGCATGTGATTAATTTGTGTTCTGAACACAGTACCCTGCCCAATCTGCTAATCTGTCCAGTCCATATCAGTGAAAATTTAAGTAGTTGCAAATGTGTGACAGATTGAGAAAGTTTAAAGAATACTTCTTAAGAAGATGGATTCTACTCTATCAGCAGTGTTTCATGTATATTTCTTAATTCTAGTAAATAAGAAATGGATGGGGTCAGAAGTCTGACCCCATCAAAGACAATTATAATTTGAATATGAACCATAAGGGATTATCTAGTCCTTTTTCAGGCAGCAACACATCTAAACCTATAAAGACATAGGTGAATTCAGTCCCTTTAAAGTTTTCATCACAAGATGTCACTGTTCATATTCTTCGGTCTCATTTCAACTCTTTTGTTTTCTTTTTTTATGACAGCACTGGGTGGGTTTCTCAGGGCCTCACGCTTGTTGGCGCTCTTACCTCTTGAGCCACTCCACCAGCCCTTTTTGTGATGAGTTTTTCCGGGACAGGGTCTCCTGAACTATTTGCCAGGGCTGGCTTTGAATTGTGATCCTCCTGCTCTCTGCCTCCTGAATACCTAGGATTACAGGTGTGAGCCACTGGTGCCCAGCCCATTCCAACTCTCTCTCTCTCTCTCTTTTTGTTGGGATTGGGGTTTAAACCTGGGGCATGCTTGCTTGCGAAGCAGCCACTCTACTGCTTAAGCAGTAGAGTGCCATCTCCAGTCATTCCAACTCTTGACAGTCCTCACCATGAGGACAATATTCCTTTTTTTTTTTTTTTTTAACTTTTTGAATGTTTATTTCTGAGCCAGTGATAGGATGGATCTTTGAAGGTTACACAGCCTTTGGAGTCATTCCTCCATTACACAAAGGAACAGAACTCATATCCTTCTATCTACACAAATACTAAGTAAGTTATGCTTGGACACAACCATGGTAACCTTACACAGCTGGGCTGAGCGTTTTCCAGATCTCTATGTTCTACTTCCTTTTTGATCATAATTTTTTTGAGACAGTCTTTCTATGTAGTCCAGAATTACCTCAAATTTATGATCCACCTGTGTCTGCCTCTGGATTACAGGTGTGTGCCACCACACCTAGCATTATACCAATCTTTAAATTCCTTCTTTCTTCTTACATTTTACTAGAATCCAATAAGAGAAGCCATACAGCCATCCAAACACTGAAGCTAAGCTTAGTTTTGTCAAATATCCTAGCTCATCACTCTGAAGCTTTCTACTCCCTAATGTCCTAAGACACAGGCATAATTCAGCCACATTCTTCACTACTCTGTAATAAGGAACCACTTCCTAAGTTTCCAACAAGACTTTCTCATTTCTGACTAAGACCTCATCAGAGTGGTCTTCATTGTCCATATTTCTAGCAACATTCTAATCAAAGCCACTCAAGCAATGTACACAAGGATTCAGACTTTGGCTATTGCTCTTTTCTTCTCCTACGGCTCATCAAAACTGCCCTTCCTGTTCCAGCACAGCAATGAAGCTTTTTCAAGTGATCACATCCAAACTGTGCCACCCTCTACCCACGATCCAGATCCAAAGCACTTTCACACAGAAGTATCTGGTGTAGCAACACCATTTCTCTTCCTTCCATTCAATTTCTCCCTTGATTTGCTTTGTGTGACCATAAAAGAATACCTGAGTTTGGGCATTTTATTTAAAAAAAAAAAGAAGAAGAATATTTCCTCACATCTGTGGAGTTTGAGAGATTGAAGCGCAAGCACTGGCACCCTGGGAGGATCATCTTGCTGAGTCCTCGTGTTGGAATGCGGTTGGGCAAGAGGCAGCAAGCTCACTTCCACAAGCCCTAGCCAAAGGGGCGCTAATCAATCCACGAGGACACAGCCTTCGTCACCTGAGCACTTCCCAAAGTCCCCACCTCTCAATACCATGCCAGTGACGAACAATGCAGAGGAGCTCCTTGCATAGCAGAGTCTGTTTGTGCTGGAGAAAGATGCATCATTCACACGGCAGAGGCCTGTGCCCCATTTTCAGTCTTCTAACTCTGAGGGTCCCTGTTGAGTGTTTAGGATTACTGTTAGTAATGTTCATTTGATGCACAGTACATAGGCCATAGGGCAACAGAGAGGGCCAGTGGAGTGGAGAGTGGTGGAGTGCCTGCCTAGCAAGCACGAAACCCCAGTACCATAAAAAAAGAAGAGCAACAGAAAAGGAGCATTTGCAAAGCAGATTTTGTTCATACTAAGAGAGATTCATCATTCACAAAGTGCTATTACAAAGGGGACTGGCACCTGTGAAACCATAACCCAGAATAAATAATTCCTCCTCTTTCTCTCAGATATTCGGTTAGAATGACAAGAAAACTAACTAATACAAAGACATGGTATAATCATAAAAGAAGAGATTTTTTTTTCCCTACATAAGCCCAGTAGAAAAATCCCAACAATTAACAGGACTAATTTTTCTATAACCATTAACCACAATTATCTTAAAACTACACAAAAATTAAGCTTTCTGGCTTATTATAAAAACAGCTTGGTTTACTCATGGATCCAACATGGTTCAAAATGAAAGGAGAAAAACCTTATTATTTATCTTGGTTTAAAAGGACACAAAATATTAAACTCACTTCTTATTGCTTAAGCAAACTTTAGAAATTATGTCACCTTGACATTTATTTTGAAAAGTGAAAAATAGGAATATGCAGTACAGAGATCTAATTAAGAATGAGCCACAGATAAACAAAACATGCTTATAACTTGTAGGATACTTCTTTCAGATTGTATAATTTCTGGTACATTCTAAATAAGTTACTTTGATTCAAGCAGTGCATATAACTTGTATTTATAGGATTCTACTACGTGGAAAATTTTTATAGGAGGTTGAAAGTATTTGTTTCAAATAACAACTTTGTGGTGTTTTTACATTTACAAGGTTTTGATCATGGGTGTGTTTGAAGACATTAGACAAGTAAAGACTTTTGCATATCTGCTCTACTCATGATTTCTCATCAGAGAATGCTATTTTATGTTTGTGAATTCAACCAAGATGACTAGAGGCATTTGGTTCCCACACACTTTCCTTTGATACCACCTCTGCTCTCTATGCATCATCAAGTTTACTAGAAAGGACATGTGATAATAAGTCCTTCTCATATTCTGTATTTAGGAATTCTCTCCAGTGTGAGTCCTTCCATGTTTCTTAAGGTAACCAGAACAAGTGAAGGCTTTCCCACATTGCTTGCATTCACAGGATTTCTCACCAATATGAATTCACTCATGTCTTTGAAGACCACTCAAGGTAGACAAGGCTTTCCCACATTCCTGCATATCCAGGGTTTTCCTCCACTGTGATTCATCTGTGTTTTTGAAAGTTACAGCATCAAAAGAAAGTTTTGCCGCATTGCTCACGTGCATAGGGCCTCTCTCCACTGTGACTTCGTCCATGTGTTCAAAACTCACTTGTAAACAGAAGGCTTTCCCACATTGCTACCTACATAATGGTAGACTAATTCATCTTTGAAAGGAGCTGGAAGAAATGAAAACTTTCCCACTGCGCTTCCATTCCAGTGGATCCTCTCCAGTGTGAGTCCTTTCATGCTTCTGAAAGCACTGGGGAGAACAGGAGGCATACCCATATTTCTTGTTTATACAGCTTCTCTCCATATTCCTGATACTTATATGGTTTGTGTCCAATGTGAGCTCTGAGAGGAACATTTAAGGAAGAAAGACCAATGAGGACTTCTCTGTGCATACAGTTTTCACATGGTGTTACTCCTGGAAGAGTTTTATTATTCACAGTATGCTTGGGAATCTGGCTGCAGATTTATCTACACTAACTACTCTCCTTACATCCATAAAGGTTCTCCACCACTTGACTTCTTAGATTTCTCCTGAAATTTCTGTACTCATCTTCATTGTTTTGGTCTTCTTGTTTCTTCCCATTTCCCAGCTTCCAATGTGTCCTGGTGTCCTCCCTAGGATACTGAAGTCAGGGAGGACACCAAGCTGCAGAGGCTAGGACATCTGGGGCTTTTCTTAGCAGTGGATACAATTTCCAAACATCAACAGTATTCCTTTCATTTAATCCAGACTCTGAGGATTGCTACCTACTACAATGTGTATATGGCTATCTTATAAATCTTGACTGATTATACTTCCTTGAGGACATGGCGACTCTTTGGATAATTATTTCTATATTCAATGCATCTTTTCAAGCCAGTTCCTGCAGTATCCTACTTTTAAAGCTAGCTCAAGCCCCCTTCTCACCCTTATTTCGTGTGTGAGCGTATCAGCGTGTCTCGCTATTTCTCCTTAATCGCCAGAGCATAAGACAGCCTCAGGCTCAAGGTATGTAGCTCTTCAGGTATTTTTGTTCAATTCTTATTTTAAGATAATTGTAGTTCACATACAATTTTAAGAAACCATACTGAAAGTTCTTATAAACTCTTAACCCTGCTTTCCCAAGTGATGGCATTTTACATAACTATAGTACTGTATCCTAACCAGGAAAACAGATCAGTGTAATCCACTGGTCTGATTCAGATTTCACCAGTTTTACTTATTCTTGTGTGTAACCCACAGCATTTTTAAAT